CTCTTGATGGATGCTGATATTTCATATCTGTGTCACTGTCTATACTGTACCTTGAATGTTATTTCTACTACATTATACCCAGTTGCATTTATTGGAAATGTTATTGATTATTGAATTTTCATTTTTATTAAACTTTTTTATTAAACATTATGTACACACATTAGTCAAACCTATACAACATTTCCACCCCTCCAATTTCTTCCCCAGAGCAGCACAGTTCTCATCTTAGCTTCTCGGGAACTCTCTTTCTTTACTTTAAAATTAATAACTATTGAATCCATTTAGTTCCTCCACTTTCTGCATAGGCATGGGGACAATCTTTAATGCATTTAGTCAACAATATTTCAATTCATGGTGTGCTGACTAGTCCTAAATACATTGCATATAGGCATAACTCATGTGTAAGCCAAAAACTTTCTTCTTGTTCATTATCCACCTTTTCTGTTCTCTAGTTTTCAGTACTTTCAGGATATCATTGTTTCTGTCATTGTGACTAAGATATGGTGATAAAGTCTCACTTTTGATAGCCTTCTCTGCCACCCAGAGTCTGTAAATGTCCTCACTTTTTAGGCAAGCATATCATCTGGTTAATCGTTAACCTTGTGCCCCTGAGGCAGTAAGTACAGTATTTTAAGCATTTATGTTATTTTCCTGCTGAAAGTTAGACGGTATTCCACTTTTGAAATATAGGATTAGTAAGTTCTTGGCTGACATCTGGATGCTGTTCAAAGGGCACCAGGTTTTATGGGTCCTAAAGAAATAATGATCCTTGATTAAGTATTGATACTAGGTGTGTAAATTTTTTGGTTCCCATCTGTAATGAATGCCTATTAGAGTTTGTTTATAATTTAAATGTTGAGTTAAAGGAGAATTGAATGGTAACAACCATACAAGAGGCAAATTTTCAGTTCAAAGCTACTCACAATACTTGCTGTAAAATAAAATGGTGTAGCAGTTTTCACTATTACAGTTAAAAATAAGAGGTTTCCTGGACAAAATTTAAACTACCTTGTCAAACAGGTTTCAATTCTTCTGTCCAAATGGAAAGAATTTCATATAATAATTTGAAGTATTTTATTGTACCTGCTACTCCAAAAGCTTGATATGACATACTTGGGGCCAGGAGAGGAAAGCAAAGGACCTCTGTAAAAAACAAAAAAAGATGGGGCATTCATGTAAAGGTGCATGAATTTTTTTTGGAAGAAGTGGCAGAAAGACAAAAAATCAGAGTTTTAAAGATACCTCAGGGTAGATGCACATATACGCTCATAGTTACTGGACAACATACACTTGGTCTTCACAAGCTCCAGCTGGGAAAACATGCCAGCATAGAGAGGAGAATAAAACAGGAAAGAGATTTCATACAATCACATTATACACATGTATGAAATTCTTAAATAATAAAGAAAAAAGATCTTTTAGAAACAAAAATGTGTATTATTTCTCCAGAAGATTGTCTATAGCTCCCTGGATTCATAGGATAGTAGCCTTTGCAGAGAATATCCTTAAATCTATGAAACAAAAGCAAAAGATATAAAGAAACTGCCCCACATTGAATTTTGATTTCATTTTTTGTGTCCCTGATATGGATTTTTTCAAATGTGCTATAGGTCCCCAATGTCTGCTGAGAGTATCTGTCTAGACTCTGCTTTCTTATTTGGCCCCAATGTCAGCCAACAAGAATGCAATACTGGTTGATTGTCTGGAGATAAGGAAAGTACAGTCTGCAATTTTGACAACTCTTTCTTAATTAAATACTATCTTCTGGCCTTAATGCTGTTTATACTCTGCCTCACTGTAGTTCTCTACAGAGAATCCACTGTTCCTCTCCTATGGAGATTTCTTTTCCGTGTGTGTGTGTGTGTGTGTGTGTGTGTGTGTGTGTGTGTGTGTGTGTGTGTGTGATGTAGAAGATCTTAAATGAAAATGCATAATGTCCCTGAAGCCTATACCATATCCTGTGCACATGAAACCTGAGAGCAAAGAAAATTAAGAATAGATAGACACAGACCACACAGAGAAAAAAATCTTGGGCGAGGTAGCTTGTGCACATTCTGGTGGAGTGGTGCCAGCTAATCAACAACTCAGAATCTTATCATGTTTATTCCATGCAACATGGATGTAGGAGAGACTTAATTGGTCTCAATCCATAGCAGAGAAGTTGTGGATTCTAGATTCTGCACAGATGCTACCAGCATTCACAGTCAGACCAAAGGAAGACTTTGTCATCCTTCTTACCAGGACTTGGGAGGGTGGAGGAGGTTTTGCCAATTTCATGTGCATTTTAGGTATTGACCCTTGGCATAGCAATGCCCCTTCCAAAATAATGTACATTCAGACAGGACTTTATCCCCACTTTACACATTCACTCAGGGTTTCTTCAGTTCTCAACAAATTCTAGCATGCATACCCTATCACCTTCACAGTCTGCTATGTCTGTTCCCTGGTGTTTCTAGTGCAACCAGTCTATGATGAAAAAGTAGGGGTCATTCTCCACTTCCCCTTTCCTCAGTCCAGTTCTCCTAACATTTCTAGGTAGTCAGTTGCCCTGTGACGGTGTTCTAAGGAATTGAAGAGGAATCATGATAGTGCAATTTGTATAATGATTTATATTATTTTAAAACTTGTATCAGTTTTCCCTAAACAGATATGAACATACTGAACACAATGCCAAATGTCAGTATTTTTCACTGGACTGCTTAATCAAATTTAATGTTTGAATTATCTTGTGTAGGATTGTATTGATTACTCATTATAATAGCATTTTTAAATTAAAAGGATCCTCCAAAGGCTTAAGAGTTAATTTTGTCCTGGTTTTGAAACAGATAAAACATGTTTGGAAGCAATGTGAGACTATACCAGAATTAGAAGACAAGAGAAGAAAATTTTGTATAGATGAGATTTACAAACAGCTGGAAACTTGGAGAGGCTGGGAGATAGAAAAAGAATTATCTTTAATCAAAGGGTTTCCCTCCTTGCTGTATTCTAAGTCCCATGATGAATGTTATGGCAGTTTCTCTATTACTGAAATATAGTTTACAGGTCCACATATCACAGTTTGCCTTGCTTTCACGAGGTACTACGTAAATAACTCTTATATTTGTTCTCTCTTATCCTTGCACATAGATCATTTTCCCCTGTCTTTCAAGATTCTTTAGCTACAAAAATTACTTTTTGTGTGAGTTAAAAGCCCAATTCATAACTTCCTTTTCTCTCAGTACTGATCAAATTGAATGTGCTATCTTCCCTTTGCAACTATGGAAACATTTTCTTCCACACCACAGTTTTTGCTTAAAAAAAAAAAAAAAAAAAAAAAAAAACTAGATGGTTTTACTTATTTGTTTATTTAGGCTCCATTACAGCAAATTACTCTAATTTGAGATTACTTAATGCCTTTTTTTCTTTATACAAGTTTTAACTCATACGTGGCTTGTCATAATTTCTCAAGCTATATTTTCCCTAAACAAAAATCAAGATATTTGCAAAAGTTTTGGGATAAGTTGCCTGATGGAGTCAGTCAACAATTCCCTGCAGTTTAAGTCCTTTGACTTCATTGTCCTTATGCTGAGGTGTCTGTTGAATGATCATCTCGTGTGACTTCTAAGAATCTGATCAAAAGACCATCAACTGCTGTAGTCATTTGTTCCTAACTCACTTTATGGTGTTTAATTTTTATTTTGTTTATATAGATGTGACTGTAAACTGCATCTTATATCCTTTTGAAATAGAAAATTGATTCATCGTGAAAGAATTGACACCACGTTGCTTCTGGCAGCACATAAAGCACACTGGAGTTGAGGCTGTAACATTAATTATTTCTTGCAAAGTATTGAAGGAAAATTAGTTTGAAGCAAAGAATCACTTTTCTGATGTGTCAATCTTTTAAATTTTATATGAACTAGTGATTTAGGTAGCGTTTGGTTCATTAAAGAATGAAAGAGAAATGTATAACCACACACAGAAATTATACAAAGGAAATTAACTTCCTTAAGTCACATCCTTGAGATCAAAATTAAATTAATACAGCCCCATGGTTCTTCATTCTTGTTTTTGCATTCCTTGAAGGACAAGGGCCATTTTTCTCAGTCTTAGGATTTAATTCATGTACTGAAGGTCAAAAATAACCTTCCAAGAAAGGATCACTCTACATTTATAGAACATGAATACTGAAAATTGTTCATTGGTACAAGAATGTGTGGCTACGATCTATCTACAAAATATATTTTATATACTAAACCTGATCCAAACAAATTTCACTATCATAAATCATTTAAGAAATGACAAATGAACCAATCAATAGTGCATGTTGTATTTCTGCTATACATAAAAGTTCCTAAAATGGCATAGTATATGCATTTAAGAGTTAAATTCCCACTTTCAATTTTTAAGTTCATTGTTAGTGTGTGAGAATAGTGATAGACAGATGAGATGGAGAGAGGGGGAAAAGAGAGAGAGAGAAGATACAGGGAGAACAATTCCATTGTGTGTAACATATTTCAAGTATAGGAATCTTCATTTGGTAACAGGAAATGTTCAATTGGTGTTTCATATCTGCAGTTATTTGCAATTTATTTTAGATTATGTTCAGAAATGCACATATTTCAGCAATTTTCTCTTGAGTTAAGTTTCCATATGACCCCTCCAATGACAGTTTTAGCTATTGCTCCCATGTTCCCTCCCTCAGCACCAGCTTCCATCCCACCCCTGGTTTGATCCTTGAATCCCAGACTTCCATCTTCCCACCCATCCATAAATACATGTTATCTTTCCCCTTCCTAGGTAGATTCACTCCTCTCACCTGGTCTCTTACTGTATATCTAATTTCTGTGGGTATATGTTTTGTAGCTTACTTATCAAGGATTTTACAGCAGGAATCCACAAAGAAGATAATATACACCATATTTATCTTTCTGTGCCCAGGTTACCTTACTCAGGATGTTTCTCTTTTTTTTCTAGCACCATCCATTTACTTGCAATTTTCATGACTTCATTTCCCACTGAAGGGAGACAGAAAAAACTTTCTTCCCCTGCCACAAATATGTAGTTGAATTTTTCACATTTAGGGAAGTCAAAGGGGTTAGCACATTCATAGTGCAATAAATAAATCTCTCCCTGGGAACACCACCTTGGTAAGAATGGTGTCCCCCATGCTAGGAAAGTATAAACCTCTTTAACAGCTGCATAATATTCCATTGTGTAACTTCACCACATTTTCTTTATTCATTCTTCCATTGATGGACATCTATGTGGTTTCCAAGTTCTGGCTATTAGGAACAGAGAAGAAATGAATGTGGTTGAGTAAGGGCCACTGTGGTAAGATGGGTTATCCTTCCGGCATATGTCCAAGAATTGTATAGTTGGGTCTTGAGGTGAAAGACCCTCAGATTGAGGAGCCTCTACACATCGGACAGTTTCCCCCAAAACTCAATGTCCAGTCCAGTTGATGTAAAAACAAGAGGTAAGTTTATTGTGGTATTAGACCCCCTGAAAACTCAGGTATCCAGGGTCCCAGGCCACGACCACGGTCACCCCAATCACCAGGCGGATTCGAGAGCTTGCTGCAAACTTCATGAGGCTTTTTTTTTTTTTTTTTTTTTGTTGTTGTTGTTTTTTTTTTTTAATGAGCTAACCCCATGTTAGCTTGAGTCTTTCACCCACCTGCCATGGCGGATGGCTTGCAAAAGACAACTCCTAGGGGCTC